TGTATTTTAGATTGTGACATATGAAACTTAATACCACACTGTTGTGTTTAATATCTTGAATTTTCCTAACTCCGTCAAAGTTTACTTTAATGTCTATTGGAAATAACATCAGGAATGAGGCAGACCAAAGAAAACATAGGTATTGCTTGGAACACAATCTTAGATTAAGTAGGATGGGTTAACCTGTCAGCTGTCCCCATTTTGGCACCAAGGATTAATTTTGTAGGAGATATTTTTTCCATGGACTGGTGGATGGTCTCAGGATGATTCAAATGCATTATACTCATTGTACACCTTATTCCTATTATTTCATTATACATTATAGTGAAATATACAATGAAATAATTGTACAACTCACCATGATACAGTACTAGTGATAGCCCTGAGATTGTTTTCCTGCAACCAGATGGTCCCTTTTGGAGGTGATGGGAGACAGTGACACCCAAAGTGTTAGGTCCATTCTACTCGGCAATCTCATTTTGGTTGCTGTCATTGCAACCAAACTGCTTCAAAAAAAGACTGTTGGAAATGGAAGCAGGCTTTTCGGTGCTTTTGTAGCAGTCTCAGGATATTCTGCATTGACTTTAATTCAGAATATATGGAAATCTGAAATTTAAAGGCCACCATCATTTGTTGATTGCAAGCAGTTGACGCTCTTGGAGCATGGAAAATTCACTTCACCTGGCATATTCACAAATGGGTCATGGATCCAGTTTCTCCCAGTTGGGGAGTCTTTTGTGGTTAGGGAGTAATGCTCAAACTCTTTTGAAAACTGAGGTAGGGGATCATGTACCAGCTGGGATAAAGAAGGTTCTGGCTCAGTCTCTTTCAAAATCTCAGCTAATATATGTAAAAAATCCCAATGATCACTTGCTGCCTCCTTAATTCTAGTTTGGCTTTGAATGCATTCACTTTATCTGCTGACTTGAACACAGTTGTCATTCTCTCCCGAAGTGACTGAGTATGTTTAGCAGGGTAAATGTCATAGAAATAGGCAAGTTTTGCAATCCATTGTGTCAATGAAATATGCTGCTGCTGGTGACTGTTTTTCTAAAAGAAATCTCTGCAATGGCTCTCATAACTCAGAAACTGGCCAGTGATCTACTATTAGGAAGCCATCTCACGTCTGTGTATAAGAGAAGACATGTGTGCTCTATGCTCTTCAGAGCTGCATGAATAGAACAGATGTGAGGTAAGGGCATGTACTTTAATGTGGTCCATAATTTTAATCACATTCTGCAAAATGTTAAGGTCAGGTGATATTTTTCAGCTAGTCAGCATTAGTCTCACATTCAGAAGCAACCTCTTTGAACTGAGTGGTGAACCAGAAAGCTGTCCAGTCATGGCAGTCACTCTGTCTATGCCTACACATACACAAAATGGCCAATTCAGTTTTCCTGATAGGTATTCATTCAAAGATTTGAATAGTTCTGTATGTTGTGCTACTGGCTGACAACAAAGTACATATATTTCCTCCTGAAATATATTCTATCCCCCTGAAAAGATGTCAAACAAAAACAAGCATTGTTGCCTTGTCATTATCAGACTTGTCAACCTAGATTTCTCACTACAGTGACTCATTTGTTCTAACAATTATGCATCAGTATCCTCTGGTATTTCATTGGTTTGTCTAGTTATGGTGCTAGCTAAAAGAGGAACATGTGCCACCTTTTCAACCTCAGCCTTTCCTAAAATTTCTTCACAACAAATGTACTTAGCAGCAGGCAGGATCAACTCACCAACAGCAAAGGGCTTCTTAGCTTTAGCAAGGTGGTCAGCTACTAAGAATGATGTTCTCAGTGCACACACATTTAATGAAGTGGTGGCCTTCAAGAATTGCTTCTGTCCTTTTTTAATTTGAAAAACTTCCAGGGCTTGTCTTTTAATGTAAGGTGCTTTGTTTCCATATGGTGAAGCATTGTGAAGGTTACATAGCTTCACTGGATAGCCAGTCAACACATATAGGTGGGGCTTGGAGAATGTCAATTACCTGTTGCAATGAACTCATAATTTAAGTGGTATTTTAAATGCGGTTTCCTTTTTAATGGCAGTCTTAGAATCTTGTGCTCTTTCAAGTCTTTCTCCTTTTCAAAGAAGCTCTCCCGTGATGTTCTTTACTCATGTTGGCTAGGGTTAGGTTGCAGGCTTAACAAAGCTGAGACAAGTGCACAACACAGGAAAGAGGTGTAAATGGAGTGGTAAAATAATGGGCAGTCCACGTGTGGATTAAAGTCTTGGAATTTAACTAAATGCTTGCCACCAAATGCAGCTGTACAACTGAATTACAACTCACTTGTCACTATAAAACTTGCTACCAGATGCTGCTTGTCACTTGCCACTCACTGACAGGGTTTTGCAAGCAATTGATTTATTGTGGTTTCTGTGCAATCAAACCTCCCTGCTAAGGTTAATCTGTATTTGCAGATGGTTCTCAGTACTTAGCATCACCATCTCAGCTCCACCTCAGATTGTCAGGCATTAGATTCACATAAGGAGCCTGAAACCTAGATCCCTTGCATGCACATTTCACAGTAGGGTTTGTACTCCTGTAAGAATCTCATACTGCTGCCGATCTAACAGGAAGTACAGCTAACACAGTAATGAGAGCTATGGGGAACAGCTATAGAGAGATATAAAACTTTGGTTGCTCACCCACCACTCACCTCCTGCTCTGTAGCCTTGTACCTAACAGGACACAGACCCAGTGGCTGGGGCCCCTTGGACTAAATAGAATGATGGAAATGATAAAGAACTTTTATTCCTCCTAAGAAAATGAACTGTGACATTTGACTGGAAGGGAATTTAACTAGTGGGAAAAACAGAAATACAATGAATTAGATAATACGCTTCTCTTATTTCTCCATTAACTTTAGCTTACAGGAGTCTTCCACTTATTTGGAAAAGAAAATGTCTTGTGCAAGCAACCAAGTGGACTCCATGCTCTAGAACATGTGGGATGGGAATATCTAACAGGGTAACCAATGAAAACAGCAATTGTGAAATGAGAAAAGAGAAAAGACTATGTTATATTCAGCCTTGCAACAGTACTATGTCAAAGTTAGTAAAGGTAAATTTTAATTAGACTTCATTATAATTCAGTAGAGACCTCTGTAATATAAATGTGTATTTTGGAGGGATAGTGTTTGACTCATAAAAGTAAAACAAACATTATAACCATCACAGTGTAATGAATAAAATCATTTCAGAGAAAAATAGATATTAACTTTCTCGCACTTTGTAGGGTAGGGAATATTTTACCTAGTAGAGATAACATTAACCTAGAGATTCTCTACGTATTCTACAAGCTTAAAAATGTGGGTCTTAATCAGCCTGATTTGCTGTGGTAACCTTTCATTCATCCTTTTCAGATTCCACCTTTTTTCTTTTCCATATTAATTGCATGTAGTAGAATCAAAGTAATGAATACAAAATTTTCATTGTAAAATGAATTTTCATTGCAATAAGAAAATTGGAATAGAGAAGTTCTAATCTTAGTTATATACAAAAAACTTGGAGGTCATACTATTTGCAAAATGCTCTGTGCTTCCCAGTTTATTAGCAAAGGACCATGATAAAGTGTTTACCATATGAATGCTTGGTATAACTTCTTGAAGGAGGAAGATAACTGTCTTAAGTGAGCAATTTTTAGAGATGCTATAAAATCCATATCACCCTCAAGGGATTCCCTAGCATATGAGGAAGCTGATAGTGCAAATTTTAAAAAGCTATTTATTCATCTATATATCTACCCAAAAATGTCTGAGCTGTGTTAGGGAATTTGCTGTGCTGTAGGTAAATAAATATTTAATAAGACATAGCCCTTGATAGTAAACAAAATATTTCCATGGATTGTGGAACTGAATAAAAGAAAGCAGAAAAACACTGAGTCCCACAATATGATGGTGCAAGAACAGGGAGGACAGACTTCTGGTGAAGGGACATTTTAAATGCAGAAGGTGCTGCAAGTCACTACATGGCAACATGCCCCAGAAACTGTTTTATCTGTATATGTCTGTGCCAAAATATGTTCTACACAATATTTTTCTCCACTACTGTAAACAAATTTAAAGATTTAATCGTAATTTTGTTTCTTTTCAGATTCCCAAAGGAAAAACATGCCAGCCTACTTTCCAACTGTCCAAAGCCGAAAAATTTGTCTTTTCTGGATGCTCAAGCACTCAGAGTTACAAGCCCACTTTTTGTGGAATATGCACAGATAAGAGATGTTGCATCCCCAATAAGTCTAAAATGATTACCATTCAATTCGAGTGCCCACATGAAGGGTCATTTAAGTGGAAGATGCACTGGATTACATCTTGTGTGTGTCAGAGAAACTGCAGAGAACCTGGAGACATATTTTCTGAGCTCAAGATTCTATAAAACCAAGCACAAGTGTGGGGGGTGGGTTAAGGTTAATCAATTATACCATGTAACTTAAAAAGTAGTGGTGGCAAATCTACTTTATGGATATAAAGTACTAAAAATACTTAGATGTTCTCCAATTCCTATACTTAAGGCATCAGAAGCTTCTAAAAACGTTTTTCCTAAAATATATATATAAAATTTGAACAACTTAAAACTGAATTCATTTCTACAATATATGCTACAATAATGTAATACAGACATTTGGTAGCATCCAAGCATTCAATACAATGAAAAAGTTTTATTATTTACAGGAAAATATTTTATTTTACAAAACAACTGAGAAAACTTTGTCAATATGTTTAAAAACACTTACTAAATTTTTAAGCTTTAATCTGTGCCTGGCAATGTAGCCTAGGCTATCAGAGGACAATCACTACAGGGCTAAAAAGAGTCCAGATGAATTCTTGAATAGAAATAATATTACACTATAAATGTACTTATAGTTTTCATTGCCCAATCCTAAACATTAGTTATGATTTCTTTAGGGAGAAAAGAAAATGGAATTATTCTGGCTACTGTTAACAGATATAATCTGAAAGTTTTTACACCAAATACTTTAAAAAACTAAATTTCCAAGATAAGGACCAAGAACAAAACTAATACCTTGCAAAGGAAAAACACTTAAAAGTCAAATCCTAAAGAAAGCAAACAACAGGGCTGGGGAGGTAGCTCAGTGGTGCTGTGCCTGCCTGGCAAGAGCAAGGTCTTGCTTGAGTTCGATTTCTGGTACCAGAAAAAACAAAAAAAAGAAAAAGAAAGCAAGCAAGCATACAACAGATTATTTTGGCTTGAAAAAAAAATTGTTCCTAAAAATTACTTCCTTATATGATAAATCAACCTATTTATTGGAAATCTAAATTGTTATTAAAGTAAATTAATGCTAACTCAAATTGGAGGTTACAGTAAGTGGAACAATTTCACTAGACTATTACAACCATTTACCACAAAAGCTGGAAGAGAGTGTAAGCTTTGTAATGTTTTGCTCACTTAAAAATGGTGATGTGCACAACAATAACAAGTAGCACTGTTTAAAAACATGGACATTATAAAATCAGCTGGCTTAAAAGCCTATTATTTAAAACAATTTCATATAAATACATGTTAAATGTCTAAACTGTGATTCTTCTGAGTATAAAAGTTGTTACTCAAGAAAAACAAAATCTCCTTAACAGTTGTAATAAAACCTATCCCTGAAAAGTTAGCGGCTATTACATGGAAATATTACTATTGTGTTATTCTACGCCTAGTACCTACTTTTAAATATCAGGAGAATTTAAGCAGAATATCAAAATATAAATTAAATATCAATATAAAAATATATCTGTACAAGATTTTTATTATCAGTGTATAAAGGTCTAAATTATTTATTTCTAAATAAAGCAGTCTGTTCAAGAACTCCATTCTCTCAATGTTCTCAAATTGCCTGAAGTACGGGCTTCACTAATTTCACACATTGGTATCATAAATAAATTGTGATTAAGTAGAAAACAGTCTTCTTTAGACAAAGTATTTCCCGAATCACAAACAAGCTGAAACAGGTGATGAAAAACAACATGAAGTTAGGAAAAGTGACAGTTATGTTTTTAGGTTTCCTTCTCACACAGCTATGCTTAGCCTCTGTACATCCTCCACAGGCAGGCTCTTTGTGGCATCCAGCTGGTCGTACTCCTCGATGAGTGCTGACAATGATGACACAGCTTCCGTGAAACAGCTTTCCTCCATCCCTTCAACTTGTAGATAGTGGTGGAGGTGAGCCTATAAATGATAAATCGGATGACGTTTACCATCCCAGGAACTTTAATATATCCACCTGTCTTACAAGGTAAATAGTCTTTGCTAAAATTAATTAGCTCTACAATGGAAATGAGAGATTGTGTCAAATGAATATTTTGCCTAATCCTATAAACTCATGAAATTTCTCATGTAGAGTAAAAATAGTATGATTGAGCCTCTCCTCTTCAGGTATAGTCAGTACAAGAGGCATCACAGACAAGGGAAGGTCAGTTCTAATTTTTACTGTTAAAACATCAAGAGCCAAAAAAAGCACAGTTAAAAAGGTGTGCATTTACCTTTTTCTTGTAGAGCCTCATGAACCTCTCTCTCAGCTCAATGAAAGTAGGCTTCACACATGTGTTATTTGCCAAAGCTAATAATGAGTGGGAGTGTCCCACAGGAGGTACTGAACACAGGCTGGTCTTCCAGCCTTCTTGATTCCAGGAGACAAACTGCAGAGAAGGCTTTAATCTGAGATACAAAAATGTAAACAGAAGAACTAAGGTATAAGGTACTAAAATGCCTGTTGCATTATGGCAGCCCACATTAGCTAAACAAGGACATTACGGATGGCATCACCTTAATTGCTTCGTTTATAATCTAAGTTATCTATTTTTTGCTATTAGCAGTATAGTGAGATAATGTAAGAGTGAACCAGAGACATGTAATTTGGGGGCCTTTAAGTCAGCTGTGATGGCGATTTAAAAAGCTGGAAAGGGACCGGGATTTAGCTCAGTGCTTCCGCTGTCTGCCTTGCAAGCTCAAGGACCAGAGTTCGATCCCCAGTACCAAAAAAAAAAAAAAAAATCCTTGAGGGGATCTAATAAAAAGCTGGAAAGACATTCTCTAAAATCAAATACCTGGGGCTAAAAAGGAATGAAGGTATAATTTTCTTTATTTGCATTTCAACATTTTTCCTAAAAGCAGACTGTCAAATACCAAAACAAACTTAGAAGCTTCATAGTCACTGTGGTGGGTGGCAGTAAAAATAATTATCAACTATACTTTCTGAAAACTCTCAGAAAAAAATGCCTCATAAAAATTTAATATTCTTAAGTAACAACTTTGTAATATTATTCTTAGTCTACACTTGAGGAAAACAAGCACCCTGTGGTTAAATAGTTTGCCCAAAGTCACCCTTCAGGAAGTGGCACTGCTATAATTAAAGAAAAGCTGTGCTATACTATCCCAAGCAGTACACATCGATTATCTTGAAAAACAGAAAAAAACCTTTCAATATTTCTGCGAAGATCTGAAATCTGTACATTTCCTCGAACCATGAGGGCACAGGCGAGATAGAGACTGTGTTTCGGGTCTGCTTGAATTAGCTGGTGATCTTTACTAAAGGCATCTGAAAACATCAGATCCAACCTAGAACAATTAAAGAGTCACCGTTTGCATAAAACAATACAGCTTTCTTCTACATATAATTTTAAAATGAAAAGACAATCATCTGTAGGTTAAAAAAAGAACTGTACCTTTAATATTAATATTATAATATGTACTATTTTAAATATATTCTAAATAGTCACCTATTGTTTTCTCAAAGGAATCTTGATAAATACAAAAGGAAATCATGCATTATCTATTTTTTTTTTTTTTAAAAACCTGTAGTAACTGATTTTAGGTAACTACAAAATGTTGACTATAGCATTAAAGAGCACTACAGAGTACTGATTGCTTAAACCTTTATCATTATTGCTTAGTTCAGTATGCTTATCTACTTCAATGGTGTCAGAACTATCAAAATTAGAAATACATGACACTAAAACCATTACTTGTCTCTGTTAATCACATTATAAATGTTAAGAATAACAGGAGAAAACTATAAAAGGACAACGTGAGGCTTTCCTACAAAAGATTAAGGTCTATAGTATTGCTCCCAAAAGGGGAGATTTTAAACAGATGCATTGTACCTGAAGGTTAAAAGATAAATAAAAGATTGTCTTTTTCCTTCAGCTACAGAGGAAAAGAAAGGTGACTGACAAAAGTTTGTATCTAACCAACATACAGTCTCCTTACATGGCTCCACTTTGATCCTTAAATACTATTTAACTCAATATAAATATGATTATCTTCCTTGGCTTAACTGTAGGCAGAGCTTTATGTGCTGAACCTGCAGAATACCTGGGCAGAGCTGCAGAAATACATGCTATTTATTTTTATCAGATATTTATTAAATGCTGACAATATATTCTAAGTGTAAGAGATCTAGCTGTGAACAAAATACACACTTCCTTCTCTAATGGAGCTCATGTTCTATGTTGATTATCGGATAGAAGGAGGGAGAGGATTTCTAATGGGACAGGTGAGCTTTCGGGGATTCACAAGTGCTCTACAATTAGATTCAAAATTTTGGTGTATATGTGGTTTGGGGTATTTTCATGCAGTCAAGTTATAGAGACTGCTCTAGAGATGGAGATACAGAAAAGATTAAAAATAATCACACAATAAATAGTCATACTCAATTGATTTTCTTGACATAAAATTTTAAAAAATTACTAAGGAAGTATTATAATTATTGGGATATTTTTATTCATATGTGCTTATTACTTATTTTGACAAAAATACGAACCGGGTACAGAACTGATGTTTTAAACATAATTTGCAAGCCAAACCATTGTCATTTGTTTTGAAACTACTTATAAGAAATTAAAAAGATTTTTACAACTACGCCAAAACTTTTAGTAGTACCATCTTAAAACAGTTTATCATTTACAGAAGAAAAAATGACCATGCCAATATGCTGATATGGCAGACTTTGAAATATCTACCACAGAGCAGAAGGAAAAAAATCAAATCTCCCAAATCTCTATAAAGATAGTAAGAACACCATGACAAATTTCTTAATCTAACATTTTAAAAATTCCCTACAGACTTGCATTAATACAATTTAAAAACAAATCTTCACCTCAAATTATGATTACAATAAAAATGACACAAGTATTATTATTATAAATTACTTAACTTTGAAATATTCAGATTGAAGGACCAAGTAAAAACTTAATTTTTTCTTCATGCTTAATTAGAAATCTTATGTCTTTCTTTTTTTAAGAATTAACTTTATAAAGATGTCTAGATTATACCACTGGACAATAAACAGCTTAGCACCATATAGAAGTTTATCAATATCATTTGTCATATTCCTCAAGTATAGAACTGTCGCCTTATCAGAACTGTGACAATAAACACAATCTTTAGTTTCTACTTTCTCACTCACATACTCTCCCCTTACTGCATTTGGCAGGACTTTTTTCCTTTCAACCATGAATGCCAGTGTGAACTTCGCATGGTCATCATCACTATATATTATTACCTTTTAAAAATCACATTTTTTGTTAAGTACATTAATATAAACTCTATGCTTAAAAACACATAAACAGAAAACAAGGTATTCTGGAAATGATAATCATATAATATCTTATCATTGGACTGTGATAAAAGCTTTAAAATATACTATTATTAAATCTATCCAATAAGCATAAGAAGCAAGTACTCTTTCATTTTTATTGAGTAAGAAAACTAAGATGAAAAGTTTAAATTTGCCCATGGTCCTGCAGCAAGGAAGTGCTAGAATTAAGATTCAGACTTAAGTCTGTTAATCTTCAAAGCATGTCATTTTCTTTGATAAGTGTTATATATCTATGTATTTTCAAAAGCCTAAAAATTTCATCACTAGATTTAATTTTAAATAGTTTAATATTGATTTGAAATTCTAAAGCATTCTTCTAATGAAAGACAGCCATCAACCGTATTTTATATACTTCTTACATAAAATGATACCAATACTAGAATTACTATAAATGTTTTTTCTTAAAAACGTTTTTCTTAAAGGACTTCAAGTTGTCAAAAAATGAAAATTAAGTTACATCTTACCTCCGAGGAGGAATGTTAACATCTGCCAGTGTATATAAAGGTGTTAGGCTTGACACAAGATAATGAAGTTGAGGAAATGGAACTAAATTCATACTGATTTCATTAAGGTCCATATTAAGAGACCCTTCAAACCGTGCAGAGCTAAAAGATAGATATTAAAACAATGAGAACAATTTTAATTTTAAAACTATACACTTTGAATTAAATACATACAGGTGAAAAATTAATTATTGTAGAAACTTTCTCAAATTTCATAAGGGTCTGCTTAATACACACTACAGTCTAGAATATAATAATTCTAAGAAATAATAGAGGTTGAAGTCATGGAATTCTTATATCAGATAACAAGGAGTCATAGTTAGCCGGTTTAAAAGTAAGGTATTTTACAGCAAAGAAAAAAAGTTTAATTTCATCTAATCAAGCATTTCTGAAGTGTGTTTACTACAAAATCATTTATTATGAACACCATTATTTCCTGAAATAACCTTGAAGAAATGCAGGCTTCAGGATCAAGGAAATTAAAACTGTAGTCTATCCCGACAAGAGGTAGAAATACAAGACAAAATAAAAAAGGGGCAGCCCACTTTCCCATCCCCCTTCTGTCTTAAGCAGCTTGCTTTCTCCCAATAAATTTTTCCTACCTTTAACCTCCGTTGTTCCTAGAACTCATTCTTTGATTTCAGAGAACACGAACTTGCATTTTGGATATCTAGCAGGTTTGGAAGTTATATGTCTTCCCCCTGTATCATTTTGGAGGTCTTCCACCGAGATTACTGGTCAGAGGTAAGAGTCTGCTTTTGTTCC